ACCCCAAAACATAGAGCATAGGTTCTGTCGCCCAGTTAACGGAGCATCCGCCGATGAGGCCGAGTGTCCGATAAAAATCCCCAATTTAGTAAATCTCCTAGTAGGGGCACCTAGACCGTTACGAGAGTGAACAATGGAATGTCCGATTATTGATTGGAGTATCCATTGAATTATAAAGACTCACAGCCAGAGAACCCAAGAGCACCCAGTTCCTATCGGATCGTCTCGTCACTCACGCCGGAGCATCCGATGAATTATATACATAGAGTAACCCAGTAACCCAAGAGTGCCTAAAACCTATTGGAGCATCCATGAACCCCGTAGAGCATCCGCTAGAGCCTAAACAAAGTCAACCAGAGATAACCCACCTCGGTGACCAGCACAACAGAATGTTCGTCAGTCAGAGCAGAGCATTCAACTTTCACATAGAATGTGAGTTTAATTAACGAGCTTACCTAGCAATCAACGGTATCAGTTAGCATCCCAATCTAGCAACATAAGAGAAGAATCAAAGTTAGATGTCTCATCCTAGGATCCAACGGTGACTTACCCATGTTCCTTATCATCGGTGAATCTCTCCAATTGGATCTCACTCGTTCCTTTCAGGAATCATCTCGATAAGAAGCGCGTATAGGATGTCATCGTCAGCTTCTAGATGTCTGAACGGCAACACCATCAAGCAAGCACCCCACTATTATGAACCCTACTTTGGATACTAATCAAGTTACATTATGAGTCATGCATTACATGTGGTCTTGGATAATGATCACCTTCACACTACACCTAGAGTAGCTTAATAATCTATAGAAGCCTCTCATCTAAACAATGGGAATGGAAACTCTTAATGCTTATTGCTTAGTTGCTTGGGCAATGGTAGAAGTCGAGCATGAGAAGAGAACTCATACTCGCGCGTGTAGGATGCTACACCTGGATAATTAACTACTAAAATCAATGAGGGTACAACTTGACTTACCTGAATAATCTGGATAAGGACTAATGTTCCTAATATGATAATCATGTTGATAACTTGGATATCTTGCTCATGCGAGGGGTAGGTCGTCATGAGTGTGGGATCTCAGACGACATAGCTTGTGGAGCAGTAAGGACCGTGTATTGGGATACGTAAGTCCGAGTAACCACCCGTACAGACCACATGTCGTGGATGGGGTCAACAAGCCAAGTATCTAGTTGCAACCTGTTTATCCGTGAAACTGGAAAGGGGGTGGCGTCGATCGGGAATGTCTAGGACATTGACCGGGAACCCAGTCAAACCTTTCGTCGGACAATCGGGCCGGATTAGGGAAATGTTGGAGAACGTGTGGCAACCCTTACTACCAGACCCGATGTATGGTGGTTAGTCCCATTTTCCGTGTGGGTATAGTTGTACACCTCTGCAGAGTCTTGAAAGCCTAATGTCCTTCGGGACAGAACTATTCGATTGTTCTTTCTTTCTATACCCATGGTAGAATGTAAGATGGTTTATGAGCACCTTGCTATAATGATAAATACCTTTACTCCTAATGTTGAGCATAGCATGTCATAATCTTAATGAACATCATTGCTTTCCGCACTTATACAAATGCCTGATAATTACCCTATGCATCCACCAAATATTATATGTTGGAATTAAGCCCTGCGAGTGCGCAATGTACTCACAGTGCAGCCGTTAAGTTGTTTTACAGGTAAACAGAGCGTCTTCTCGAGTCTAGCTTCGGTGAAGGCATAGTTAGCAGACCTTGGAGCGGGCGATCTCCAAGCTGAGCTGCGTGTAACCCGACGAGTAGATGAGAGATCAGAGTGGCAACCCAGTGCAAAGATAGAGTCGTCCGGAGTATTAGATTCAGTAGTCTTATACGTTCTAACCCTATTTTGTTATTAATAATACTTTAGGGATGAGCGCAAGATGGGAGGGTGTATGTGAATGAATTGCCTGAAATGCATTGTATTGGGTATATGTGTGTAACTTAGCGCAAAGATCCTAAAGAGGAGTTGCTACGTGCGCTCCTAGGGGTCTCTCGATGTTGTTTACTTAAATTGAGTTGGTCAAGTGGATGACACTAGGTTTAGGTAGACTACCGCGTCGAGACATCCATTCCCCCACAATAGATGTCCCCTCAGTCCTGGCGGAGTGAGTGAGATGTGCCTGCCCTAGTCAGAGGAGGCGTACTTGGTGGAGCTCGACCTCTCCTCGTTCCTTCCGGAGTCGAGACGGAGGAGAGGTCGTGCAGCGCTGCGTTGCACGCGGTGAAAGGAGAAGTGAGAGGTCGTGGTTAACCCCTTGCCTTGGTGCTCAGCCCACGCCTGCGCGGCTTAGATGGGCCACGTTTGCTAGGCTTGTGCTAGCTCGGTTGCCATGGACCGCTGAAGGCTAATTAATCGGTGTCTTTAAATACCCGAGGTATCAAAACCCCGACAGGTTTTTTTTGAAACTTTTAGAGATATTTTCTATGGTTTACAACCGTTATCAAGTATTAAGTAGGTTTCTTTAATAAAAAGGACAAAAACGCCTTCAAAACCATTTCAAACTAGGGCATGGAGGTACTTTATATGGTTTTGAGAGTTTAGGGGATAAGATAATTGGTTCTGAAGTTTGATGAGGAAATCAGACTACAACGACAGTCCAAGGAGTTAAAATGCACTTTTTCCTAATTTCAAAGGCCATCAACTATTGAATACCACCTATTTTTCCATCTCGAAGTAACAAAATCAAATATCCTACATCTCAAATTGTCTAATGCGCACAAATGATACCTCTAGCTGGTCCTGATGGTGATTTTAGCCTACGTAATGCAATGTCAATCACCCGATGTCAATTCGATTGCATTGATAGTTTAAGAGGCCAAATAGTCTTAAAAACTTCTATGATATTTTCTAAAAAATCATCCTATTTTTTTGAAAGTTAACTAAAAAATGTAAAACCCAGTTATTCTTAGAATCTTTTAAATAAAGGTTAGAAAAATATGAAACCAAATTTAGATTATTCTTAATAATAATACTCTATGTTCTAGTGCCTAGCTTGGAGTTATTTGAATCTTCAATGGTTTCTAAAATAGCATGTAGGCAATTATACGAGCTTTGGGTTTGTGATTATGCTTGCCCCCCCCCTAAACCCACTTTGCAGCTTTTATTCCCCTCTAGGTTTTCATGTTTAAGGGTCGCAGGACGTGCTTTGGTTAAGGCATTGAAAAAGGCGGGTATCCCTGGCTAAATTTGATACTTAGACTGTCTCCAACGGATCCAACCCAAAAACAAGACGCATTCCCCGGTTTAGGTTGTGCATAGTGAAAAGGTTCGTGACCCATAAACTCCCTTCTCCAACCGTTGGGCGCAACAGAGCGTCCTCTTCCCTTCCTCCTCCTCTCGCGAGCCCCGCCGCCTCTTCCCTTCCTCCTCTCGTAGGCCCGCCGATGGGAGCGCCTCCCTCCCCGCCGAGCCATCGAGCGCCGAGGTCGCCGGCAACTCCGTCCGTAGGCCCGCCTGGCCAAGCGCCCCGTCGGCGGTGCCACCTGGCCGAGCGTCGCGGTCCCGCTTCGCCGTCGTCGTCTAAGGGCTGCTCCGACCTCCGGCCCTGGTGTCGCTGTGCCCGGTGAGATCTGGACCCGCCGCCACCGTGCGAGCGAGCTTCGGCCCCAGCCTCACCGTGTCTGCGCCGGCGGCGCTCTTCTCCTCGGGCGACGAGTGGCCCTTGCCGACGGCGCTGCTCCACCGCAGGTGGACCTCGCCGGCGGGATCCTCCCTCCCCTGCCCGACACCGCCTGTCCCTGCTCCCACCGAGCTCCATCGGCGACCGCAGCCCCTCCCCTGCCCGATGCCGCCTACCCCTGCTCCCTCCGATGGCGGCCAGGCGGATCCGGACTCCATGACGGCAGCCGCGCCTCCACCGACCTCCATCGGCCCCGCCCCTGTGTCGGGCCCCGGCGGTCGCTCCTCCCTCTCTCTCTGTTTTGCGTCGTCGAGAACGACGACGCTTTGTTGCCTTCCGACACCGCTGCTACGCAAAATGGCTGGCTTGAATACGTCCTCCGTTGGATCGTGAGTTTGGGACGTAAAAACACTGTGCACGATGCATTTTGTGTTTGGGTCGCTTTTTGCGTGCGCCGTTGGAGACACTCTTACCCAGTTACCCTACGACTAATGATGAAAACGGAACGGAAATATCCCGAACCGAACCGCATCGTTTTCTATATTTAATCCGATCGAATCCACATTTTCTTGTCCGACTTTACCGTTTTCGCTTTCGCATTTGAGATGTTTCGTATTTCAAATGTAAAAGTAGAAAACGGTTTACACATTTTTCGACCGTTTTCTACTTTTCTACTTTTAATTTAAAATATTCTAAATTTAAAATTCGGTTTAAACCGAATTTGGCCAACTGCACAGGTCATACAGCCCAATTACAGGCTGCTCATCACACAGCTGCGTTCTTTCTACTGGTGGCTAGCTGCCCTCTCTTATAGACGGCGTCCAGCCTCATCTCTCTTATTATGTATTTAGTCATGCACTTGTTTAATGCTATGCACTTGAACTAGATCATGCACTTCTTAGTTGTGAACTTGTTGTGTATTTGGTTGTGCACTTGTTTAATGCTATGCACTGTGGCTCGGTATTTTGTATTGAATTTTCGCATACCGACCGTGTTCGACATAATTCCGCTCGAATTGGTTCGTTTCCGAAATTCTAGATATTACGTAAGTTCGTGTTCATTTTCATGTCCGGCTTATCCGCATTCACTTTCGCTTTCATATTTTAAATATAAAAATAGAAAATGGTTGAGAAATTTTTCGACCCACTTCGACCTTTTTCATCCTTACCTACGACGTCTATGCGGCTACATGATCCTCGTATAGCCGCACATGAATTTTCTACCCGTGCCCACATTCATCGGATACGAAACCGACGGTTAGATTGCCATCCCTAGCCCTAGCCGTGTGTACACAGCGCAGTGCCGCGGGGGCACCAGCCTATCCACCGCGCTCCAGGCCCTCCGCCGCCGTGGCGAAATGCCGCTCCTCCCCTCCACCGCCGTGCCGCCGCCCCGTCTCCGCCTCCGCCTCCCACTCCCACTCCCTCTCCACCACCGCCCCATCCCCCTTCCCCTCCCGCTCCGCCACCACCACTCCTCGCCCCACCCGCGTCTCCTCCCCCTGGCGGCGTCCCTCCCGCCCCCACCTCCCGAGGAGCTGCTCCACACGCAGGCCACGGGTCTCGTCGCCGCCTCGCAGGCCAACTTCATGCGCGTCATCGTGGACGCCGCGGCCCCGGGGCTGGACCACCACCGCGGCTCCGACCTGCTCTGCGTCGTCCGCGCGCTGCTCAAGAAGATCCGCCGCCGCGTGCTCGTCGGTGACCGTGTCCTCGTCGGGGCGGTCGACTGGACCGACCGCCGCGGGATGATCGAGGATGTCTTCGAGCGGAGGTCCGAGGTGGCCAACCCGCCCGTCGCCAACGTCGACCGCCTCGTCGTGCTCTTCTCGCTCGACCAGCCGAAGCCCGAGCCGGCCACGCTCACCCGGTTCCTCGTCGAGGCCGAGTCCACAGGGATTCCGTTTGTGCTCGTCTTCAACAAGGTCGAGCTCGTCGACGAACAGGTAATGTGAACACCGCCCACTCCAACTGGTTGCTCGATTGCTATTCATCTCTGTATGAGCTGTAAATCGGATTGGCTGGATTGCAGTGCATTGTAGCTGAGATAAGATTATAAGAACTGTGGTTTGTGGATAAGGATTCTCTAATTTATTCCACAATTTGCTGGGAGCTACTCAGCGAAGTTGGAACCGGAAAAAATGGTTTTGTAGAAAAAAAAATATGGCAAACCATTTTTTTTTCATGGAACAGGAAGGGCCAGTGCCATGGCAAGGCAAACCAATTTCAATCCCAATAATTGGGGGCATTTAAGGTATAGTTGTTTTGGCTGCTCAGGAAAAATGGTTTATCATCAGGATTTACCTGTTATTCACACTAATATTACTATCAGTATCAACAGCCAGAATTCAGCATTCCTTTTTACATCTTAAGGAAAAAAATGTCTATCAACCAAGATTAATTCCTGCTCGAAGGTGCTATAATTGGCACCTTTGTCAATCAAATAGTCAATAATGACACTAATGGTGCAAATATTGGGCTCCATAAAACTCATCCAGTTGCTCCACCTATACACTGTAAATATGGTTGGGGACATGCTCCTTTAGATGCACAAAAGGTCACCTGGATTGTACGCAGTCGTGCTAAATGTTGACTGTCATGGGTAAAAACTTCAAAATGCAAGCACACCACCCTTTTACTTAAGTGTCTACTGTCAGAGACTTGGTACATAATACATACCCGAAGATATGTGTATCATTTTAAAACCCCATCGCCGATGATGGTGTCCTGTATCTGGGGCTTACCTGGGGCTGGTAAAGCAAAACAAGGGCTGCCCCCTTTTACTTAAGTGTCTACTGTCAGAGACTTGGTACATACATACCCGAAGATATGTGTATCATTTTAAAACCCCATCGCCGATGATGGTGTCCTGTATCTGGGGCTTACCTGGGGCTGGTAAAGCAAAACAAGGGCTGCCCTACTCATAAATTCATGTTTTTGTTCTCCTCGCCTGTCTGCCCGATATCGATATTCTAATCTGTACACATAGCATGTCTGTTTGCAATTGCTCACTTTGCTGTTGTTCAAATTTGAATGTAAGATATGTAGCTATTGCATTTGTAGTATGCACTCTTTGGTGTTCTGTTTATGTTATATGGTCAAGTGATATTCTTTGCTTTTTAGCACTGCAGACAATAGCATACTGGAGAGATAGGTTGAAGAGTTGGGGCTATGATCCACTGTTTCTAAGTGTTGATAAGCAATCAGGATTTACTGCTCTAGAAGAGATGTTGGAAGGACAAACAACTGTAGTTGTTGGTCCAAGCGGCGTTGGGAAGTCCAGCCTGATCAATGCACTGAGGGGTAACCAGGACATATCAGAAGAAGATCCAATACATAAACTGGTTGAACAGGTGATAGTCATTTCATCATTTATTCCATTTTCCTGATTAATTTTCTTTTATCATTTCTGAAACTTTAATTTGCATTTATAATTCACTGAGCATTTCTTTGTTTTGTTTTGTTAGCATTTCTATAAAAAATGCCCTCTTTCATCACATAACTTGATAGTTTAGTACGTGATGAATGGCTTATTAGCTTAATAGTACATGAATTAGTTCATCTGATTTGGAACCGAGGACTTACTTTAACTTGGGAATTGATTGGTGCTGTACTGTATCTGCATGTTGATCTGGTTGGTTGGACAAGACTCACCAAAGACGTGCACTGTAGTCTGTTACATGTTCTTCTTTGCTTTCTCAGGGCACCTTACAAACTGGATATCGCTTGTTTGATACGAGTATCTTCTACTTCATTTTTGCAAAGCTTCACAACTTTAGTGGTAGTAAAATCTAGAATCTGTCTTGATGTGGATACTGATTTATTTTTCTTGTGCTTATGATTCACCAGAATAGTAAATGGTTTGGTGAACAACGTGTTGGAACTGTGTCCAAGAAAAGTGGTAAAGGAAAGCACACAACACGGCATGTCTCATTGCTTCCTATAGCTGGTGGAGGCTTCCTTGCTGATACTCCTGGATTTAACCAGCCTAGTTTGATGAAAGTGACAAAAAAGAGTCTTGCAGAAACATTTCCTGAGGTTCGTTTTGACTATTTTTTTATCGTGTCCTGTTTATTAAATTCTTACTTGTAGTGTCTGCCTGCTCACTACTAGGCGCTGTTAAGGCTGTATTTCAGTTTATTATATCATTTACTTACTAGTAATATTATTTGATACTCCAGATAAGAAAAGCGCTGAAAGAGAACGAGCCCACAAAATGCTTATTTAATGATTGTGTTCACCTGGGTGAGCATGGATGTGTTGTGAAAGGGGAGTGGGAAAGGTATCCATACTATCTCCAGATGCTTGATGAGATCAAAATTAGAGAAGAAATCCAGCTACGGACATTTGGAACAAAAAGAGAAGGTGATGTCAGGTATGCTACGAAGGCATAGCTTATGAGCATTATCTTGTATGGTAGAGTCTAGATGGTATAATATTCTCTCCTGTAGTCGCAGTCACATAGTTAACTTTGTAGATGTTGAAATTTAGTTTCCTAGAAATTTTACTTGCATAAGCAAATGTTCTGGTAACTTTGTAACAGATGTAACTTTCTTTTACTTAACAAACTGGTATAAAAGTACTAGTGCACTTAATTATGGTAAACAAATAACCAGCTCTGGCACAACATATCAAGTGAATAAAACCTAGCATTAGGAAGTATTAATTTGTTCCTTCCAAGATTGATAAGAACCCAGGAAAACTAGAATGTTGGTGTATGAAATCTGCCAAAGTTTTTAGGTGACCTACTGTTTGGTAATTGTAATGTTTTTACCATATGATGATGATTCTGCGCATGTGATGCCTGTCACAACGGTGACTATTCAAATGAGCTATACTGTCCTGCCATGGTTGAATTTTATGGAGGGATGTTATTTTCCCAGCACGAGCACGATACTCTTGTTAACCTGTTGTAGAAGAGATCCTGACAAAAAGTTTGGCCATGTAGTCATTTTTTTGCATATATTTTACATACATTCCAGAAAATGTCTTGGTCTTTAGTACTGTATAATAATGCAGAGTCATAGTGACAATTCACTAACACCACATGTATGAATGGTATTAGACTAAAGAAACGAAGTTCGCCATCGTTTTCTTGAGATTAGTTTCTTATACTTAGAGCTTCTACCCTTATGGATGCTAAATCTCAGGAGTCATATGTTCCGGATAATAAAGTGCATCCATCTTGATTCAGGTACAAAACAGGTGTCATGGGGGTGAAGCAAGCAGAGCCTCGTCTTGAACTCAAGAAGCACAGGAGGGTATCTAGAAAGAAGATTAACCAATCTATTCTTGACGAAATTGAAGATGACATTGATGACCTCGATGATGACTACCGGTTTGACGTGAAGCAACGTACTAGGAAACGATAATCGTTTCTCATCTGATGATCTAACGACTACACGAAGTCTAATCATAGGCAGGAAGGAACCTTTGTGTGCTGTACATAGTTGGTTTTGTAGTGCGACCATGCCCTTAAGCAGTTATGCTGATCGCTGTAAGGAGAAGCGCACTGGCCGGGACCCGGGAGGCCGTGGACGCTTGCACCTGACGTTTTACGTTGAACTGTGTTTCCTTGCGGCAGAACAGTAAGAAGTAAGATGGAAGTTTTTAGTTAGACTAAAACAGTCTCTATCTCCCACAATATTATACGCCAGCGCACACGTCGTGTTGGTTGCAAGGAAAGTGTTAGTCGCACACTATCTGGTGATCGTCTGAAAATTTGATCCTCAAAATATAATAACTTTAAATAAATATTTGAGCTTTAAATGATTTTAAATAAAAAAAATCCTTAGATCTCATCAACCACTACAAATTTGGTATTGAGTATGTCAACATTTCATGTTCTTTGAAATTTTTAAAATTTTGAATTTTAAGAACTAAGAACCTTAAACATATATTTGGGGCTTAAAAGACTTTAGATTAAAAAAAACTTGTCTACTATAAAGTTCTATATCACATTAAGATCTAAAATTTTGGTATAGACTATGTCAACATCCTAGATCATTAAAGGATTTTTAAATTAAAATTTAAAACCTGATAAATTAAAGTGAATTTTTGTTACTCTAAATAGTTTTAAATTAAAAATTTGTCAACTATAAAGTCATAGACCACTTCGATCTCTATGATTTTAATATAAAGTTTGTCTTCATCTGACTCAATATGAATTAATTTTGATACAACTATTTTAGACGGGCCTTTTAAGACTACTGACTTTGTTAATTAGTCTTTAGAGATGTCATAATTAGAATGCCTGAATCTGCTAATTTCTATTTTCGAAGACATACATCTTAAAATGTTTGTCTTTGTTAACTGATTAATAGAGGTGAGTGTCCTAATGCTAAATAAACGAGATGCGGTCTTTTTATATGCCTGTCTTTGTAAACCATTAACAGAGGCATACAATTGACTGATGGACGCGTTTGACGGCGAGAAATTTTCAGATTCTCATTAGGATCACTTCAAACACAACAAAGAGAAATGTTCCAGGGAGAATCACCTAGAATTGATTCTCGCTTTTGTACTAGTCCAGAGAAACACTAAAATCCTGAATTCTCTTTATTTTAGTTCTAGTTTTAAAAATCCAGCAGGCCACAGAGCTAGTCAAATAGCTTCACGAATTGATTTTGATTCAGCAGTGAAATGTTTCTATAGAAAATTTGGATCTGAAATATTTTTTAGGAGAATCTGGATTTCTATCAAGCGCGAGTCTACCTCTGTTAATTAAGAATCTGTCTCCTAAATTTTTTATGCAGTAAAAGAGTCTTGAAGCCACCACGTGTAACTAATCTCACCTCTTAACGGCGACATTTTGACTCTTTCCAACGACGATGCCCGGTCGCAACCTCTATGCTACATATAAGGTGTTTTCCCGTTACCTAAAGAGGGTGAGTTAGTCTACCGATCGAGGTGGCATGGTAAGTTGGTAACAGGTCGAAAACGAAAACCATGAGCTATCGCTACCACCACAGGGACGCTGATCCTCCTCAACATCAATAACAACACAGCTGCATCGTCGTGCGGTGCGGTCAGAGGTCCTTGATCGAGGCCCTTGGGGCATCTCCCATTCTGTAAGTCCAAGTTAGTTTCAACTAATTGTGTAATTAGGTGTTCATAAGGTTAGACTAGTGAAGATTTTTTCGGGATCAAGTAAAATAGTTCTAGCATATAGTTAGTTTTGTAGTTTCACTGTGTTCTTAAGCAGTTAAGCTTGTATATGTTTTTTCCCTCTCGATCATCAGGAAACCAGGTAGAATTCTATCAACTGATAATATACTCGCTCGTGCTCCCTTCGCCCCAGATTATAAGTCATTCCAAAATCTTGAGAGTCAAAGCACCTCAAGTTTGACTAAAATTATAGAAAGAATTATAAAGATTTATGACATCAAATAAATATACTATGAAAATATAATTAATAAAGAACCTAATGATACTTAGTTGGTATTATAAATATTATATATAAATTTGGTTAAACTTGATATGTTTTTGAACTCTCCAAGATTCTTGAATGATTTATAATTTGGAATGGAGGGAGTATATGCTTTTTCAAATTATATATATATACACTCCTGTATGCCAACTACTACTACTACCGACTACGCCTGTCTGATCCACTACCATTTTTTAAATAAAAAAGGAATCCGCGGGCTTTCCGCGGCTGCATGCAATTGGCTCCTCCCGTGACCGTCCATTTCTAAGAAGCAGCCCGCCTGCCGCCGCAGCTCGCCGCCTGGCAGCCACCGCTGCAGACGCGCCGGTGCGTGGTGTGCCCGTGCCCCGGGCGCCCCTCCACGAGCCTCGCTTGTGCTGGGTCAGAGCACTTCATGCACCCCTCCCTCCCTTGCTCACTGTTTATTATATATGCAAGGCCCGTTGTTTAGAAGAAGCATCAACCCCAAGTTTAATATAAGTAATTAATGGAGCCGCTGAGAAGAAGATAAACGATGGCGCCGAATAAGTAATTCATATGTTCTTCCTCTTCTTAATATATGTGGCTCTCATTGTCCTTGGTGTATATTTGAAATGTTCGTTCGTTTCTGGCTTTCTGGTAGGTGCCATTCAGGCAGGCTCCTTCCGAGAAACAAATTGTTTTTGTAATCTGATGAGGTCATGCACCATGTCGTGTCTAATTTCTCCAGGTTCCTTTTCATTTTCGGTAACTGCCACCACTCCACAGCTAGTGTATTGTGCACCATGTACTGTTCCAGAACCTTCTTATCAAAAGTTTGGTGCAGAATGCATGCCCGCCTCTGCATCTTCTCCAAGGAGGTACTCCTGCCACGTTCATTTCGCTGAAAAGCCAGGCTGTAAAGTACTGTTCGTTGATTTGTTGTGAGAGAAAAACACTGTACCATGCCTGATAAGTTCAAGATTCACGAGATGCTGTGAGGGTGTTCGGTGATATGCTCCAAAGTGATGCGGCTTCAGTTTGATGCAAGCCTAACGACGCGTGGCAGATTAAAAAAAAGAGCCAACTTCAGATAACAGATAAGTTATTATTTCCTCCGTTCAAAATTATATTAAATTCGGCTTGTTCGGCTTTTTTTCAGCCAGAACAGTTTTTTTCTCTTACAACAATTCAGCAAGAATAGTGTTTTTCAGCTACTTTCAGCTAAGTTTCAATAAGCCAAACGGGGCCTATAAGTCGCTTTGACTTTTCTGATAATTAAGCTTTGTAATGAAAAGATTATATTCTTTGTAATTAGCACGGAAAAGAATATAATCTTTGTAATATGGGCAGAAATGCTAATTAGCACATAAATTAAGCTAACTTTTTTTTTGCGACTAGAAATTAAGCTAACTAGAGAGAGGTAATTAAGCTAATCTTGTCATTAGGTGCGTCAACAACCAAGGATTTAGTAGTCAGGTCTCCAAAAACCAGCATTTCTGTGCTACTTTCAAGTTCTACCATATTATTTTCATTACATCAGTTGTAGTGACACAGTACTTCATCAGGTGTATACTTTTTATTTTGACTCGGTCGTCGGAGGTGAATGCTTATATGATTAGGTGCTCTGATCAGAATCGAGTGTGCGTTGATGATCACCTGCCCTATATCAAAATGTGTCGCCGCTGATGCGGCATGAATGATAACGTCCTTGCATTATATCTTGATCCAACAATTTATACAAGTCTCAAAAATGCTGAGCCACTAGATTGAACAGTGACGACTCAGCAATGTTTCATATGTCCAAAATCTCACCTTTTTGTATTAGAGCACTACACAGAGGCGCTAGATGAACAGTGTGACTCAGCATTATCATTTGCTAGTATAATCCATAACCTTTTATTAGACCTATAATCCATAACCTTTATGGTAAGGATAATATAATGTGCTGACGATGGTAACGCCCTAACTAACACGATTATCAGGAAGCCCAATTCAGAATTTGGAACCATATGTAAAGCTGCAACTATTGATATGAAATAAGCTACTCGCAGTTGCAACCTATATTGATTCTCCAATATTTTTTCTGGTGTACAACTTGTTCTATTTTGGCTTTTATTTGCTATAAACTTCTTTTGGTTCACTTGAAAACAGACCCCAAAACCCATCTACTAGGCTTCTGTTGCGATAGGCCTTATTAGAACTCTCCCAAGCCATGTCATATTGTCATGCAGTTCTTTTTTAGAGCGAAAAACAATATTTTAAACCTTACTATCTTATAAAGAAAGGACTTTATTAATTCATGAATATTACATCGACTTGCTATAATAATTTCGAGCTTACATCAAAGCCTTTGCAAAAGCACACAACCTAAAAAAACCCTAATAATATCTTAATAAAAAAACACCTTGGCCATCTACACCAACAATAATGCCACTACAATAAGATCCTATGTGGTAAGCTTATGGAGAATAACCCATATGTAAAACCTACAAAGGAGAATAATTATACCATACATTTAAAATCTCACCGACTGAAAACACAACACTAGCGCAACCTCCCCAACCACCACCCCTAGCTAGGTCCCTCTCTTCCCTCACTTCTGTGACCTTGCCAGGGCATAGAGGAGTAGGGACCCACCCCTTTATTTGTACATTTAATTTTGTAACTCTTATTTTTTAATATACAATTTGATTTCTTTGCGGATCAACGAGGTAATGGTGACGATGACGTATCATAATATGGGTCTCTTCTGCCTCTCCCACCTTGACTTTTGATCTGGCAATGCGATAGGCCAGTGAGAGTTTGTTTTGTCATATATGTTGGTTCTTTTGAAGTATTGGTAGCTGGTGTGTTTATCAAGTAAAGTAGTTGGTCGGTTTTCGATGAGGCAACTTCAACCTCTTATTTCAGTCTATTCTGTGGCAGGTCTAGTTTCTTCGACTTTGTTCCTTAGGGTTTCCAGCGGACGACGTTATTTCAATGGATCTTAGATCTCATTGCCAATGACAATCGGTTTTTGCGTTCTTTTAAAAGCTTTATATGGCAAGGATGTTTGCAAGTGTGCTTTTTCTTTGTTGTTGTTTCAGTGCAATTTTTAAGCTCCATGTTGCCCATGTAGAGATGATCTCTGTTGCCCCATGTCCAAAACTGCTAGAGGGCCAATTTCAAACACGTAAGCAATTATATTCCAAACATAGGGTTCCTAAACATATTTAGCCAATCGCATTCAAAGAGTAAATGATCCATGATTCTTTCTCTTTATATAGAAAAAGCACAACTTTCATCACCATGCTAATTTCTTTCGATGAGATTATCTGTTGTAAGGTATCTTGTAAAACCAACCACAAATTTTGGTCTTCAAAGAGATCTTAGCTTTCCCCACGCACCTCATGTTGGCACAAATGATTGTATGCTGATTCAACAGAAAAGCAAACCGGTTTTTCCCACCTACATTTAGCTTGATCCCTATGCTTGTTTAGACCAAAAAATAGTCAGGGTGACAATGATATGAGTGTAATTTAGCTGCAGTTCTGTCTTGTCTTAGTGGCCAGTCTGCATAATGCCTTCTCAGCTAGGTACACATCAAGGGTACATTACTGAATACAGTTACTACCAACTCCAAATTAGTGCAACTCAGCAAGCATCATGTTGGCTTCAGAGAGTCATCCTGGCATATACTGATGGAAGCTAGGTCAGGGGAGTGGTCGAACAAAAAGAACCCTACTGATTACCTACCACATCATAATCATTAGTCTTTTTCAAGATGAGGAATGACATTCATCTCTAGGATTTCTTTGACCATTTTATCACTATGCCTTCGTTCAAAAAAAAATTTATCGCTTCGCCACGTGGCATATGGTTCCTTTTGAGGTAACCCTGTCGTTATAGCTCACTGTGATAGTTCGTTGAGACATGCCCTGTTGAGTAAACTTTTCTCTGCTCATGTTGGGGACGAAGTTTATATAGTATTAATTACTATAGGTAGGGGATTAGTCCGGTTGTTCTAGACATCGTATACGTCAAATGTGACAAGTGGGGAAACCAAGTCACAAAGAATTAACCATGCTTGTATAAAGGAGACAACTCTAGTGGATGTGTACAACTTAGCTTAAGGACAAGGGAATATTAATTGGTTGTGCCTAGCTTATCCTGTGTTCGGAATCATTGAAATCTGCAAGGATGCATATATAGACCTCAGTTTAATTATCAAGCACAAGGATATCTAGTGAATCATTTTGGATGCCTAATATTTACTCCTCCATTCCAATAGTTAATTTTAGCTTTATACTAAGTAAAATTTTCTCTCTAACTCTAACCATATTTTAGAAAAAAAAATCAATAAACATCTACAAGTTGAAATAGATACACTATAAAAATATAACAACAACAACAACAAAGCCTATCAATCCCAAACAAGTTGGGTAGGCTAGAGTTGAAACCCACCAAGAGCCCCTAGTCACGGTTCAGGCACATGAATAGCTGCTTCCCAAACACTATAAAAATATGTTTCATGAAAAAATTAGCAAACTAATTTGAGATTATATATGTTGATGCCTTTTTCTTTAAATTCGGTCAAAATTAGAAAGTTTGACTTTACAAAAAGATAAAGTAAACTATATTTGAGTAGTATCTTCGTGGAAAATTCAAACAACCCATACCCAAAAGCTCTTAAGTGCAGAAATGGACCACTTGAAGAAATTTGAAGGCTCTATTGGATAGCTGTTTATTGTTTTTTTTTACTCAGGACAGCTGCTTTATTTGCAGTGTTTACTCGGCGAAGCTCCAAGGAATGGATAATTAGCGTTTAGCAACTTTTGATTGTTAAATAACTTGATGAGCTCACAAATATATACTTCACAGAGGAGTCAGTTTCTAGTTAATTTGAACATCCCGGCTACTGATTATGTAATTCGCGAAGGATTTCTTTTTGGATATATAGTATAGATGGGCCGACGGCTTGTTTCGTGGCAACCTGTTTCGGTTACAGAAGTTACTAGAAGTATGAATAACCTATTGGAAAGTTCTTTCTTAGGGTGCGTTTAGATGCCAAAATTTTTTGGTTTTGGGTACTGTAGCCCGTTTGTTTGTATTTGGTAATTAGTGTCTAATTATGGACTAATTAGGTTCGAAAGTTTCACTCGCTTGATTCGGCTACACTTAGTACTCCATGCATGTGCCGCAAAGATTCGATGTGATGGGTACTACGTAAATTTTGGAATCTAAACAGAATACTAGTAACCCACCTACCGAAACCCATCACGCTAGAACGATAAACCAACCAACTTAAAACCACGGACCCTACATCCACCGCGCCCGCGTCCCATCGGAGACAAAGAAGAAGACAACAGCGGCGGCTGGATCAGCTCTCTCTCTCTCTCTCTCTCTCTCTGTGTGTGTGTGTGTGTGTGAGCCCCCGCTAAATGGGCCAAGTTGAGCCGGTCTGATGGGCTAGGCTGAACGGCTGAACTGTAGATCTGACTAGCCGTACTGTAGCAGCGGGAATACTGTAGATACGGGACTCTGGTCCCATACCGGAACATGAGGGAAATCTACCCAACTTAAAAGCCTGGGCCTGGGAGGGAATAAATTCCGGTTCGAACCTTTTACGCGAAGCGAGGACGAAAGCGCAAGATAGTTAATAAACAGGTGTGGTACATTCAACGTGTAGAGTAGATCTTAGCCGTCTGTCCGGGCTAGGGCGTTACACACACTCTCTCTCTCTCTCTGACTCTTTCTCTCTTCTTCTCCAACTCCGACGGGCTTAGAAGGGGTTCGGCGGACTTAGAAGGGGTTCGGAGGAGGTAGGTTGAGCAGACGGTTAGGACAGGAGAGACGGCAGCGAGGCGGAGGCGGCGGTGACGCCGCTGGAGCGGGCGGTGAGGAGGCGGCCGAACCAGGTCAAGGCGGGGGCGCCCATAGCCATGGCGGATAAGGGAGGAGGGAGGGGAAGAAGGAGGTCGCCGTGAGCGGTGGGCGTCCAAACCTTTACGTCTTGCAGTGGGCGCGGCCGGGCGGCGTCCGCTGCTAACCTCTAGGAAGGGGGATGGGCGCACGAGAAGGAAGAAGGTTGCCAGTCGCGCCTTAACTTCGTCCTAGTTAATTCCACTCCACTATTTCAATTTATTAATCGTGTCATTGAGTGGTTGATGAGAGGACGGCACAAATGGAATCCTTTTATCCTAGTCCGTTTCAGACCAGAGCTATATATATATATAAGGAGCTCGCCACTTGCGGTCTTGGCCTCCAATCCAAAGTCACCAGCATTTCCAATCCCCTTTCCAACAAGATCAACACCACCACTTGAAGTCTTGAAGCATATGGACATGGAGCACCAGCTGCACCAGCTGCTGCACTTGGAGCACTTCATGCCCAGCAGCCCGGCGGGCTTCTTTGCCGTCGACAGCGGCCAAGACCCTGCCCATTTCCCAAACGGCAGGTTGTTCGTCGAGCAGGTCGGCGGCGCCACCGACGACGGCGGGTGGGTGGAGGACCTCATGCAGCTCGGCGAGGAGCTGTTCGGTGGCCAGGCCGATGGCGACGATGTCAATGGCACCGGCAGCATGGGCGACGATCACTACCAGCAGTGGCAGTGCGACGACGACGGCTCCCCGGATGGTCCGCCACCGAGCATATCCTTGGACGGCGACACGAGCCCCCCTTCTGTGGAGCAAGGCGGCGCCGGGGAGGCCGGGGAGCTCGCCTCCGAGCCGCACCACCCGCACCGCGAGGACGGCGACGACGTGTCCGGTGCGACGCGGAAGAGGAGGGACCGGTCCAAACCATCGTGTCGGAGCGGAAGCGGAGGGTCCGGATGAAGGAGAAGCTCTACGAGCTTAGGTCTCTCGTCCCCAACATCACAAAGGTTAGCTAGGCTCCGATCGATCGATTTGGAGCTAGTTTGGACCTTGTGATAGCTGGTTTACATAATTTCGACGACAGACGCATACATTCGGATTCATGTCGATCGTCGCACATGCAGATGGACAAGGCGTCCATCATCGCCGACGCGGTGGTGTACGTGAAGAACCTCCAGGCACACGCCAGGAAGCTCAAGGAGGAGGTCGCGGCGCTGGACGCCCGTCCGATGTCGCCGCCTAGCCGACAGGAGCAGCCGCAGCCGCAGCACGGCCGCCGCGCGGGGGCGGCGGGCCGACGCCAGCAGCAGCTGGAGCGCCGCGACGCGGGCTCCGGCGCCCGGGTGACACACGTGGGCGCGGCGCAGGTCGGCGAGGGCAGGTTCTTCGTGACGGTGGAGTGCGAGCGGCGGGACGGAGTGGCGGCGCTGCTGTGCGCGGCCGCCGAGTCGCTGGCGTGCTTCCGGGTCGAGAGCTCCAGCATCGGCCGGTCGGGCCCGGACCGCGTCGTGTCAACGCTCACGCTCAAGGTATTGCTTGCTGTGCACCGTGCATGCATGATTTTGGTTGACTAGCTACTAGCCAACTGACAAGAGCATTTGACTTTGGTTAATCATGGAGACTAGCTAGTCGTTAATCATTTGTGTGGATTATTGCAATTGTACGTGCAGGTGATGAGTCAACAAGTAGGAGATGCAGCCACCGGCGAGGCCTCCGTGAAGCTTTGGATGATGGCGGCTCTTCTCAAGGAAGGCTTCCGACCCGAAGCGACGGCCCAGATCTCATGATCGGATCCACCATCCACGTGGTGGTCCACCAGCTGCTGCTAATGCTCATACGGTCATACCCTGTTTCTGTTCATAGACTGTAAAAGTCTGGACTATCGAGTGTTTCAGAAGGGAATCATGATCAAGATTAAAGCCAGGACTCATCGACGTACTCTCCGCTCTCCTGTTTCAACTGATTTTTCGTTTGTTCCTTATTGTACTTCTTTTTTCTGAATTATTAGTTTACTGTAATTTTACCTAGGTGATGTACTGATGTGTAACACGTTCTTGGCACGGGGCAATCCTAATGTGATCTGGACCGTTCATCCGACGTATCCGATGGCAGCTGGTGTTCAATGTCAATGTGCCCTGTGTTGGATACTTAGCGTGTTTGCTTTCCATTTTTCCAGCCATTGCATGCCACGCCAAGATGTGGCGGCGCCTCAACTGCGGCGGCGAAAACCAGCGTCACAGGTGTGGCGAAAGTTACTACTACACGCTAGTATGAAACTGTGGCAAGCTAAAAGTTACAGTACTAACCAACCAAACAACAGCGTAAACGGCTGTGCCGGTGGCGCGTTGTGGCCGGAAAGCAAACAGCCCGTAGAATGCCACGGACGTTGCTTTCTCTCTTTCTTGACTGACAGCAGCATGCAGCGTTGATTGAAACAGAGGTTGCTTGATTAGCGCTTAAACTAGCGCAGCCAGGATGAGAAGGAATCTTCTCTCAGTGCTGCTTGCTTGGTGGGTGATGATGGTACCTAACTAAAGTGTTCGTTGGCTAGGCAGCGTGATCTAATCCAGACGCTCAGCCTTCAACGTCTGCAAATATTGTCTGCGTCAATGCGTTATGATTCTCTCGGAAGCAAACAAACGCGACCTAAGTTTAAACTAATACTTTATCTGTTTCAAACTATAACATATTTTTTCACATCTCCTATTCTTTAGGCCTGAAATCTCCAAGAGTTTCAGGCGATGGAACAACTGCTTGCAGGCTCACAACATGGCTGAGATAAGAATACTGGACACAGCCTGCTACTTTGTTTGTGATTTGTCCATGATCTCTGTTTGGGATTTGACTTCGCCACAAAGCGCAGCTCCAGACCTTTGAATTTCACCTCTAATTATTATAGCAAAGTTTGCCCGCAGGAATCGACAAGCGAAGGTGAAACTTCAACTCCGCTCGGGACAAATAAAAAGATACAAAACAATCAAAGGCGAAGACGACTTTTGACTTAAGGCTTGACATGCGAAGTCAAAAGAATTCAATACAAGAATTCTCAAGACAGAGAAGCAAATACGGCACCAGTCGATATGGTCTTGAAGAATGACAGAGCAGCGTGAAAGATGAAGACTGTGAAGAGTAAAAAGACATCTTCGCCCCTGTAATTTAAAGTGGTTGTATTAATTTAAGAGAGGGGTATAATTGTCATTTGTCTACCAATAGCGAAGGCTAGTATCTCTATAAATACTCTCTCTAACACGTGCAGTACGATCATAAAATGAATACAACTTTACACTTGTGTTCAGATTCGATGTTTGTGTGATTGTTTTACCCAACTATCTTCTATTCTTCTAATTTGTTGATTGTCTTTGTGTTATAACATATCAACTTTTTATCCTTGTCTAACTACAGAAATAATTTAAAATTATTAATTATCTTTTTGTCAACACAGATCAGCCTTTGTCAAGTTTGTGGTTTTGTTTATGTAAGGAAAATGGACCACATGGGCTATTTAGTTTTAATTTTGGTGTTCGATGATCAACAAGACCATTTGGACTAATATTGTTTGCTAGTGTTTTTGGATATAGTTCAAAGGATGCAAAGTGAACTTGGACTTAGGATATGGTGTGATCCAAATGATCAAACCTCAAGCAAGACATTAGAAGCCATGTTTAAGACCTACAAAGATCGAGCAAAGTCCAAGACACAAGAAGTAGAAGCGTGGACACAAATACACAAACAAAGTTGAAGCCACCAATACTACACAAAATCTTTTGCGCAACGTTTCCAAAATGGCCTCGGAGGTGGGCGGCCCGGTTGCCCGCCTCAATTATTCGAGGCAGGACAGCCGGGCCAGCAACCGCCTCGGCTAATACATTAACCTAGGCAGGCATTGTAAAATAACCGCCTCGGTTAATAATTATTAACGGAGGCGGGTATTGTAACATAACCGCCTCGGCAAATCATTAACCGAGGCGGACATTATAAAATAACCGCCTTGGTTAATAAGTATTAACCGAGGCGGGCATTGTAACATAACCATCTCGGTAAATCATTAACCGAGGCGGGCAATGTAACGCAACCACCTCGGTAAATCAGGCCCAGCCTGCGCTAGCCAACACTAGCCCACTACCATCTCCATTATATAAACGAAAACAGAAAACCCTAAACACTCCCTCTCCATCTCTGCGGCGCGCCCTCTACGATGCGCTCGGCACCGCGCCTCGCCCTTCTCCGCTCCGCTCTGCGCCCTCGCGACCTCCCTCTCCGCTCCCTCCGCTCGGCCCCGCACCGCGCCCCTCCTCCCTTATCACGACCTCCCTTTCCCACTCCCTCCTCCATCTCTCCAGACAGTGGTGGTGACGGCTCCGCCCTCCCCCACCCTCTCCCTCCCCTCTCCCTCAGATCCGGCGAGCAGCCAGCGACGGTGGCACCCTCTTCCTCAGATTCGGTGAGCCAGCGACGGTGGCGCCCTCTCCCATCCTATCCCTCAGATCCGGTGAGCCCAAGGCGGCCCAGGCGGTGGCATCTGCTGCGGGAGCGACCGGGAGTGACGGTCGCGCCCTCCCCCACCCTCTCTCAGATCCAGCCCCCTCCTCCCGGATCCCGTCTTCTCTGCGCGCGGCGGCGGCTTCACGAGTGGCGGCGTGACCCCGAGCGGCGGCGGCTTCGTGTGGATCCGGCGGGGGCCAGAGGGGCCTCTCTGGCGCGCCACGGCCTCGCTCCTCGGCGATGGATCCGGTCCAAGATCACGGCGCGGGGACGGGGCCTTCTCCCCTAGTCAGATCCGGCGGCGGCGTGGTACGGGAACGCCAGATCCGCGCGGGGATGCAGCGGCGGCGGTGGAGCCGCGCGGAGCAGTCGAGCTCACCGGTGGGCTCCGAAATGGGCTCGCCGGTGGGCTTTGGGATTTTTTTGTTTTTTTAATTCATTAACCGTGGCGGGCATTTGAAAGGCGTCCACCTCGGTTAATCGATTAACCGAGGTGGTTTTTGCAACCGCCTTGGTTAAGGCCATGATTAACCGTGATCTTTTGGCCGAGGCGGTTGTAAAAACCGCCTCGGTTATGCATTTGTGCCCGCCACGATTAAAATTTGTATAGTAGTGCACTCAAGCCAAGACAAAGAGGTGAATGAATTGGAATTGTCTCGTGATCTTGGATGTGCTCAAATTGACATGAAACCAGTTCAAAGTTGTAGAGCTTTTTTCATTAGCTTTCCAAAAAGTCGAGCTAAAAGTTATGTCTAAAATACGTAAGTGTGTCGTGCTGAAAATAAGCGTCGGAATCTGACCAAATTGGTCCGAAGGTTCACTGTAGCAGTCAGACGCTCCCTGAACCGAAGTGAACAGTGCATCATATAGTCCAACGCTAATGGTCCGACGCTCACCTGATTGTCCAACGCTCTCAGAAGTGCAACGGCTAGTTTCAACAGTAACCTACAGAAAGCGTTGGACTCTGAAGCAATGATCCAACGGTCCATCAAAGTACGGTCCGACGGTCCGCAGAAAGCTATACCAAGGTTCCAACGGCCATATCTTCCATGGGGGCTATAAATATGAGTCCTAACCGGACATTTGATGTGTGGAGGAGCAAGGAAACATATGAGGGGTGTTGCTACACCATTTTAGTGCTCTCCAATTGCATAGTGCTTAGTGATACACATGGTGATTAGTGTAGGTGCTTTTGCGAAGTGCTTAGGCTAGTTAGACCACCGCTTATGCACTTGCTCTAGGCTTAGGTGTAGTTGCTAGTGAGGTTTGCATACCTCTCATCTAAAGGTGCTTGCGCGCACCGTGCTTGTACTCGGCGGGACTTGTAGTCTTGCGAGACCACACTAAACGTACTTGTGGTGTGACCGTTACCGTGTACCAAAGGGAACAAGGCTTGATAGTGAAGACGGTGGGGAGCGGTCCGGGAGAGGCTTGCCGGAAGGCACACCGAAGATCTACTTACACATGGGGAAGGCCCGGGGCTATCCACAAAGTTACCCGACCGGGAGCTTGGCCCTTGCGAGGGATTCCTTACGAGGGGCTTCAACAAGGACTAGGAAGAAGCTTGAGCGCTTCTCGATACCTCGGTAAAAATACCGGAGTCGTCGATGGGAGTTTGCATCTCTACCTCATATTTACCTTCCGCATTTATATTGCTACCCTAGTTATGTGTTTTACTTTCTTAGCTTAGTTGATAGGCTAGTTGATAAGATTGGAACCTAGGTTGCATAATTATTTTGCAGTAGAGATAGCAACACACATAGCAAAACCATAGTTGCACATTTAGATAGATTATTTTCTTGCATAGGTTTTGACTAGGTGAAATTAGATGCCTTATTTAGAAGTAGAATTTTAAGTTGCCTAATTCAACCTCCTCTTAGACGTCACGGCCCTTATAGTTTAATGGATTTTTTATTCTTGATTCAAAAATTGCAGACTACGTCTACAGAAATTATAATGAGCTAAAGCTACAATTCTAACATAAAATATATGTAATAACCATCGCTTGACAGGAAGCTAAAATTCAGGCAATTCTTTATTTTTTATTATGTATTTAGACATATAGTGTATATATAAATATATATATATATATATATACATAGAAAAGTCAAAATATTTTATAATTTAGCATGGAGGGGGTCCTGGGCAGAGTAGAAGAAAGCAAGGCACGTAGGTTAGGTAACATGATGAATTTCTTCTCCGTACAAATAAAATTCATATCACTAATGACAACTAAACCACTATTATTATCCATAAATGTGTATCGTTACAACTGTTCGCAGCATCTGTTCCTAAACTATGATTG